CCGACACCCCGCTGCACCCACCCCGCCCTGCCCTGCCCTGCTCTCCTTTTCCTCCTCTCCTGGCGGCTGTTCTCCAGCCTAGTGGCTGCTGACGCAGCTCTCTGGGCTGGCCAGACCGAAGCACTCCTACAGGCCCTCTTTCTGGACCGTGGCCCTGCTCCCCCAAGGGTGGCGGGGGCACCCTTTCCTGTGGTCAGCCACTAGCCCCTCATTACTCTCTGCCACACGCCCCCTTTGCACCAGCCACCTAACAGGAAATTCTGTCTGCTCACCCTTGCAGGTAGATCCTTCAGCTGAGCTCTTCTCAGCACCCCTTGGCCACCAGGGCTCTCACCTGTCCCCAGGGGGGCACCATCTGACTTCTGAGCTGATTCCCTCACTTCCACTCCGCCCACCCTGCCCGCAGGAAACCCCCTAAGCCCTTAGGCTTGCAGAGCCTTCTGTGGCAGAGGGAGACCATCAGCGACCCCCTGAGGCACGCCCCTGCACACACACATCAGGATTGGGGCTCCCTGACAGGCCCAGGTCTCTTCCCAGCCCTGAGGCCACACTGATTTATCACCATCAAGTACAGTGGCTGAAAACTTAGGGGCTCCCCACTGCGATTCCATAAGCAGCCTTAGTGCGTGGTCCCCGCCTTCCTTTGAGATCTGGTCTGTGGTGCCCGTCCCCGGGTGTGTTTGGCTCCAGCCTCACTGGCAGTCTTTCTGCGCTGTGCTCTAGCCACGCCACCCCTAGCTCGCTGAGCCCCCTGCCTCGAGCACTCTCCTGCTCTCTGAGGGCCTCTCAGGTTTCAGCCCAAATGTCCCTCTCTTGGACCTCCCACAACTAGGGCCTCAGGCTGGGGCGGCAGGGCTCACTGGCCCCGCCCCTCCACCCCAGCCGCTGCCCACTTAGCCGAGCGACCCAGCTCTCGGGGCCGCACTGTTTCGTGACTTCATAGCTGTCTTCCTAGCTCCCCACCTCCTGCTGGCTTTCCTGTCTGTTGCCTGCCTCGGCCTGTGAGTCTGACAGGCAGGTGGGCAGGGGCTCTAATTTGGAGGTTCAGCCCAGGTCTGTGGACTCAGGGAGCGAATGAATCAAGGACACACGTTAACGTAGGCTCAGGCCCACCTTTTTGTCCTCCGGTTCTGACTGCAGGGCCCTGAGCAGCCACCCGCCCCGCCCCGCCCCACCGCCATGCACGCGTGTCCTGCACTGGAGCCCTGAGTGGGCATGCTGGGCACGTCTGCCCCCCATGGCAGCATCCACACCTGCCAAGATTCACTCTTGTGCACCTGCCACCGTCATGCAGACCCCACACCGGCTTGAGCCCGCTCCTGGCCCGTTGCGGTGTATAGACCACACGTGTATATGCAGGTGGGGACTGAGCTCTGTTGTCTGTGGAGCAGTCAAGGACTTGGTGGTAGGAGAAACTAGGGTCTCTCTGAACCTGTCTCTAGAACATTCTTTTCATAACTGCAGGCTCACACCAAGGCCCAATCCCACCAATGCCCTGACCCTCAGAACCCTGCTTCTCTCCTGCCGCAGTACAGTACCCTTGAGGCTGGGGTGGGCCCCAGCACAGAGCCAGAGAGCTGCAAAGACGAACTCTCAGTGTCCTTCCTGCCCAAGGCAAGTAAGCATCTGAGCTGGGGGACACGCTCTTCAGGTCCCCCACTCCACACCCTCGCTGGTTTGCCCACAGAACACGTGTGCCATCGTGGGGGCAGATCATGGAGGGAGTAACAGCCTCAAGCAGATGGCCAAGCCTGGCAGACAGACACAGGGCAGGGGCAGAGACATACTCGTGTTACCAGCCGGGTGCAGGATGAACAGCAATGGACATGGAAATGGGCAGAGAGAGGAGACTGAAGGCAAGTGGAAAGGCACGCCTCTCTGCACAGCTCTCCGAGCCAGGACCCCACGGCCTCCGGGTGCTGGCTCTCCAGGCCCCGGCTCTCTCATCCCGCTGCACCAGCTCAGAGGGCCCTCCCCACCCAGGTCCCCAGCGACGGCCCCACAGCGGGGGTGAGTCTCATGGGTGCTGCTCGTGGGCTTCTCCTGTCTCCCAACTTCGACACAGTTTATGACAGGACACCTTGACACCTTGATGGGGCCAAGGGAGACTTTTGGACGCATCCCTTTTCCACTTTTTGGGGGAGGAAACCCAAATATCCAGCACACATGCTGTCAGAGGCTGCAGAGAGGGGCTGTGTGGATGGTGCTGAGTGACACATAGAGGCTTCGTACCCTTTAGTTCAAATCCAAGGTGCTCTGGCAGTGCAGAAGAGAGGTGGGTCAGAGAGGGGCAGGGATGGAGGGAGAGAGACAGATAGAGACAGAGAGAGACGGGGAGGGCGGAGGGGGAGAGAGAGAGAGAAACGTTGGTCAGGACTCTTCAGACACCGGCGGCCAGCCTGTGAGGTGAAAGCTGGTTAGTCACGTTCCCTCCCGGCCCCTGAGCTCCTGCCCTGGCACCCTGTCCCCAAGAACACCCCTGAGAGGGGTGGAGAGAGGAAATGTTAGGATCAGCAGGCAGGGCAGGTTCTTTACAGATGAGCTGTGGGGTTAGTACCTGGTGGGAGGCAGAGGCGCAAGAGTCAATTGGCAGATGTCTGGGGAGGAAAGGGGGGCGGGAGTGGGGGCTGCGGCGGCCCCGCCTCCCTCCCAGCTCCAGCGCCACGCTCTAGGCGCTGGTGGAGACGGCCTGTGGGCTCCAAGCTCATTCCTGGGCCTAGCTGGGGTGGAGGGTGCAGGATACGCCCTTGAGCCCACCGGCCCTGCAGGCTGAGCTGGCCTGCCCATCTACCGGAGTCTGGGCGCGGACATTCTGTTTGAGGGGAGCAGAAGGGGAGGAGGAGGAAGAGGAGGCTTTAGATGACTGGGGGCTTCTCCACGCAGTTCCCCCCAACCCTACGAGCCTACAGGGGCTGGCCACATGGTGCAGGCCTGCCTTTGCTGCTCAGAGAAGCACACTGAACTCAAAGAGTTGACTGGGTTATCTGTGGCACACGAGCGCCCCTGGTCTCCCGACAGTACTCTGTGAAGTGGGATCATGTCAGGGTGCCATTCTCTGCGCTGGTGGGGTACACACCCAGGCCATCAAAGGGTTAAATCCAAGAGTCCTGCTGAGGGGCCACTCTGTCACTGCCGCCTGTGCCCACGTCAGCCAGCTCTCAGGCTCTAATCTGTTAGGAGATCATGCCTGGCTCTGGGCTCTCTTGGAGATCTGCAACCAGGCTGTTTCAGAATCATCCACATCAGCAGAACCAGATGGAAACCCTGAAATCTCACAGTGTTTCTGTAAAGTTTCTTTGGCATTCTGAGGGAGCCGTGAGCACCGTCTGCGGCCTTGAACCTCAGTTTTATCTCTGCTCCGCCGTGTGGGTGTGGGCAAGTTGTGCTCTCTGCTTCCTCATCTGCAGAGTGCCATCCTGCAGTGAAGGGGCCGGTGCAGGCCCGGGCAGCATGCGTGCGTGCAGAGGCCGGGCTGGTAAACCCCAGTGTTCGTGCCGCCTTCTCCCACCTGCACATAAGTAAGCTGGGCTAGAATCAGCTTCTGAGGTTCTCGGCTCCTACCGAGGGAGGAGAGCACAGGGGACATCCGCAGGAAATCCTGTGCATTAGCCACCCTTGATCTCTCCTCTGATAGGGATTCCACAGGGCTCTGTGTTTAGAAAAGAGTAGGTGGCTCGGAGCCAGGGACCAAGATGGCTCTGACTGACAAAGCCTGCAGGAAGCTTCTGGGATTCTGGCCTCCCAGTTCCACCCAGAGACCATGGTCTCGAAGCACTAACCTAGCCCTTCCAAACACGTGCCCTCTGCACCCCTGTGAAAAGCCAGGCCTGAAATGGCAGTTGTACTCTTACAGCTGGGAGGCAGGAGAGAGTGGCCTTAAGCCCAGCACACTCACTCTTCTCCTTGGGCCTCCCAGGCTGGCCAGTATGAACTTGACAGACGCAAGGTTCTTGGCAGCAATCAGTGAGTAGTTACCCTGTGGCCTCAGGGATCCTCCAGGCGGCTGGAGAGTGCGCACATTCTTTGGCTTTCTTCTAGTCATGCTCTCCTGAGAGAATGGCCCTGCTTGACCACATGCCCAGGCTTCTGGCTTATCGGGCTGCTCTGGGCCCCACTTGGTGGTTGCCTTAGATGAAGCAGCAGGGGCTCAGTGGTGTGCTAAGACACTTTCCTGAGGTCACACAGCAAGTTAGGAGGAGGAAGGGAGACTGGAGGCCATGACCATTCCTGCCCCTTGAATCTCTGAGCAGACGTGACTGGCTAGTTCTGAGGACAATGACCATCTGGAGAGTGAGTGAGGCTCCTAATGCTTTATCCTGTAAGGAGAACAAAGTAGCAGCACAGAAGCTCTTGCTGGTGTCCTTGAGGCAAAGGACAGTACTGTTGGGTGGACCAGTGGTGATGGGCAGGACTGGTGATGCCATCCCCAGGATGACAGCCTAGCTTCCCTGTCCCTGGGATGGAGTCTGAGGGGCCTGTGGCTAC